AGCTGACCCCAGGCACAAGCAGGTGTTTATCTCCCCAGCTGGGAAAGCTGAAGTGGGCACTCTGGAGCCTATAGGGAGGCTGGCAGGCTTCTGAGGCTCAGACCTGAACTGGGGCTCACTGGCACACTGTGGTGTGTCTTATTGGCACTCACACACTGAGGTGTGCACAAGGCTGAGAGGATGCTCCAGCCAAGAACAACAGAGAATTTCCAGTGCTGTGAAAGGACAGGGGACATGGAGAGCAGGACCATGCTGTGCTCCAAGCCAGACCCCAGGCAGCAGCCAGGCCTGCAGGGAGCTCAGGAGAGGCCCCTGTGCTGCAGGCTGAGGAACTGTGTCCCACAGATCAGCACAGGGCTGAACTGGAGCACACAGGGAGGAAAAAGGAGCTCCCCAGTTCCCAAAACAGGGAAATGGAACAGGGTCAGAATCCTCTGTTTCTCTTAATTGGCCTCAAGCACACTACAGCCGTGTGCCTTCTGGCCTAATTAGCGTGAATTTCCCTAAATGAATATTTGATGCTGATTAAGATATCAAAAGAGCATTGGAGCCACATGACTCCACTTCCATGCTAGCACACAGCAGCTGTGCCTATCTACCAATCTGTCACCTCATTTCACACTCAGCCATGTTCATTCTTAACAAACCCCTCAGAAAAAGGGGCTGGAGATTATGTGAGAGCATCACCTCTGGTCACACTGGGCAGGAAAACCTCCAAAGTCAGTGAATTCATGGATGCAGCATGAAAGCACCACCAAGAGCAGGAGCTGAGCTTGGTGTTGGGTGGAGATGCCCACGTCTTTCTGCTGCCCTCACAGCAACAGCAGGTCCCTGTTTGCTGACTCCCCAGCCAAGGGGCTCCTCCAGCCTCTGGGGAACACCTCCCTACCATTAACTGTGAAGAACAGCTGCAATTCCAGATGTTTCCAGCCAACAAGGGAGGCCAAGCCCATGCAGAGGCTACCCAACCATCTCCTCAGAGCCCCGTGTGTGTGAGCTGTACCTGCTGCAGGCGGGTGTGCAGCTCCAGGGTCCTCTGCAGGTGCAGCTGCTTCCTCTTGCCGTGCTCGGCCAGCAGGTCGCAGTGGTGCCGCAGCTCGTTGCACTGCTGGCAGATCAGGTTCAGCGCGTAGTGGTGGTTGGCAGCCAGCTGGTGCCCGTGCAGGATCACCACCTGAGCCTTCCCTATCAGCTCCTGCAGGAGGGGAGAGCCCAGGCTGGCACACACACAGAGATGGTGCCAGTGTGTCCCCACACACAGAAATGGCGCCAGTGTCCCCACACATAGAAATGGTGCCAAAGTGACCACACACACACAGAAATGGCACCAGCGTCCCCACACACAGAAATGGTGCTAGAGTGTCCCCACACACAGAAATGGCACCAGTGTCCTCACACACAGAAATGGCGCCAGTGTCCCCACACACAGAAATGGCGCCAGTGTCTCCACACACAGAAATGGTGCCAGAGTGTCCCCACACACAGAAATGGTACCAGTGTCCTCACACACAGAAATGGCAACAGTGTCCCCACACACAGAAATGGTGCCAAATTGACCACACACACACAGAAATGGCGCCAGTGTCCTCACACACAGAAATGGCGCCAGTGTCCCCACACACAGAAATGGTGCCAGAGTGTCCCCACACACAGAAATGGTGCCAGAGTGTCCTCACACACAGAAATGGTGCCAAAGTGACCATACATACACAGAAATGGTGCCAGAGTGTCCCCACACACAGAAATGGTGCCAGTATCCCCACACACAGAAATGGCGCCAGAGTGTCCTCACACACAGAAATGGTGCCAAAGTGACCATACACACACAGAAATGGTGCCAGAGTGTCCCCACACACAGAAATGGTGCCAGAGTGCCCCCACACACCAGTGTGCCCTCCCAGCTCACCAGGGTTCAGCCAGGTAGGAGTGAGCCCTTTGTTGAGAGTGACAAAATTACCCTTTGTCCCCTTAAAAGGAAATAAGCCCACAAGTTTCTCTCCTCTATTAAGTGAAAAGACACCTCATAGGACCTGGGGGACTTCACCTCAAACTTAAGGATAGCTATTTGGACAGGAGCCAAAAAGTCCCACCAGGGCAATTAAGTAGAAAAAGAAGAGAACAAAGAAACTAATGGCTTTTGTAAGTGTTTTACCAGAAGCAGGGACATCTTCTACCTGGCTCGGTATTTCTGTTTGCTATTTTACCTTTTACTGAACCTTTTTATTTCCAACACTGCAACAGAAGCCATCCTGCTGATTTTTATGCCTCCAAGGATAGCTGAGCTATCTGGGTGTGTTATAGGCCTCCCAGAGCTTATTAGACCTGGCTCAAAGAAGTTACTATAACACAGCCACTCTTGGGGATGGCTGCCATCAGGAATGGCCAGCAGGAGTGGCTTGCACACCATAAAATGGTGCCCCCACCATCTGGGGAGAAAAACCTTCCTGTCCATAGACAGCATGAAGCAGTACTTCACCAAAGCAGCCAGGCTGTGAGTGCCTGCTGTCAATGCATTGCTGCCCCTCCAGGAGCCACACCCTGAATACACTGCGGCTGACTCCATGCTCCCAAGCATCCCAATTCTCATCAAAGGCAATTGCAGTAGTTGAGGTTTATCTTGATGCCATGAACACAGGACCTTTTCTGCACAGCTCAGTGAGTGTACTGGTTCTGATTTCTCCAGGGCTGGGAGGAACTGGGATGGCTTTCCACTGGGATGGCTTTCCTGCTGCTCCCTGCCTGCCTGGCTTTTTGATCCTCCTCCCTCTCTCCACAAACATTTCTTCCAAATGGCCAGCAAGCCTCAAACCTCTCTCTAGAACTCTTCTGTGCCCAGAGCCCTCAGGATTTCTCTGCTGCCCCTGGCCCAGGTGCCCAGCACATCCCTTTGCAAGGTCACAGCCTTAGCTGGGCTCCTGTGAATCATTTCTCTTCACTCTTCTTTCCCCTCCATCTCTTAGTCTTCACCCATATGTTATGTTCAACTCACAGACATGGCAGGATACAACTTTTCTGCAACTCCATGTGCCTGGTAACAAGTTTCTGCCTATTAGCATAGCTAAAGCACTTAAAATATAAATAATTCTTCTTCCAGCTCATTAAATCCCACGCCTCCCCCACGTTCAGACATTTATCTGTTCCGGATATTCACGGTGGCTCAGCAATTTATTTTAACTCTGATAATTAAACAGCCTGTTTCTGGCTTTCAGGGTGATCACAGCCTTGCTGCTCAGAGCAGAGACATGAAATCAATCCTTCGTGCAGCACTCACCAACAAATTACAGAGCCAGGTGATTTCACAGAGACCTACCACACATACAGAGTGTGGCTCCTGTGTTTCATTGAGCTGCTTCTGTGGAAGGCTGTCTCACCTGAGCCATGTTATCTATCTCACCTGAGCCAGGCCATCCAAGCTCTCCAGCTCCTTGAGCCTCTGCTTCACCTGGGGGACGCTGTCGCCGGTGTCGGGCAGCTCCGCCTGCTGCCCCATTAAAAATTCAATGGCACTCTTCACCTGGACACAGAGAGGAAAATTGCTGCAGAAGGATGCAGAGCACAGGCAGGAAAACAGTCTGAGCCCAAAATTAATCACACTTGAGCTAAGATTGCTAAATCCAATAACACAACTAGTGTCCAAGAACTAATTTGTAAATTGAAAGATGCTTCCATCGGCAGAATGCACACAACTGCAGGGCAGTGGTACCTAAATTAGCTGCAGGGAGGAAGCACAGCCGTCTCCCCAGGCTAGCCAGCCCTGCCACAGCCAAGGAACAGTAGCATAAATTAAACACTCTCAAAATAAAAAGCATAAGAACTTCCCTCCATCAGATCTCCGCCTCTCCCTTCTGCCAATGGAAGCACATCTGATCCTACCTCTTGAAAACTTTGCTCAAACTTCCAGAGTTGTAAATATTGTTCCATTTTTAACTGATGCTTTTCCCAGAAGCCATCAAAAGCAGTCTCCATCTCACGCAGCTGACCAAGCAACCTTGGGCACAGAAAAAGGACAAGATTGGGACAATAATTTGCAAACAGGGGACAAGCAGAGATGGACAAGCCCTAGAGATCGCTTACACAGGGACCCAAGGTCTCAGAAGAAGTCAACAGACATGTACATGTGGCTTGAGATGATCCCAGGGACAGATTTAATGGAATCAGCACTGCAGAGCAGTGTGATCACACATCTATGTAAAGCAGTTGTTGCTGTCTCCATTTATCTGGGTAAAACCTGGGGCCTGGCAGGGAGAGCCCTGCATCTGCTCCACAGCCTCATGACAACAGTGGGGACAGAGATCAGAGCAAGTCATGAGAGAAGTTACCCAGCAATCTGATGGACTGCAGTAAAATTCTGGTGTCTCTTTGATAGCTGACCTAAAGAGCACACCCACACCCCAATAATTTCAGTGCTTCCACTGGAAGTCAGGGGGTTTAGGAACGCAGTGCACTCACCGATTCACTGTCTCCCAGTCCCCAGGCCTCTCCTGCTGCTGCTCCTGACTGCATTCCCCTGAGTCTGGCTCTTCAAAACTGCTCAAAAGCAACTTGCCCTCTTTTGTGACTGCCGTGATCTCCTCCTGTATAACACAAAACATTCCTCGTTCAGGCTGCTCACTGTGAGGTAAGGATAAGGCATTTTGTGTTTCTCCTGCCTCAGTTTCCCTGTGTGAAACAAGCAGCAATACCCAACAGACCAAAGCACTCCCAGCAGATGTTTCAGTCCTCCTAACATGGAATTAACCCCTGGAGCTGCACGAGGCTGAGCCATGGATGGGCCACCAGGCTGGGTGGAAAGTGCCACACATGAATATAGCAGGCCACAGAAAGACTCAGGAGGCCAGCAGGGCCCCAGCTCTCTGCTGGTGAGCAGAGGTGCTGGTGTGAGACACCTGTCCATCAGTTCATGTCTTCAAGCAAGGTCTTCCACAGCTTGAAGGCTGTGCTTCTCCACCAAGGTCAGCAGAGGAGGTTGTTAGAGCAGCATCCCACGGGGGAACAAAGCCAGGATTGAGCCCACACAGCAGCACTCAGCACAACCTCTACACACAAAGCCAACACTCCCAATCCAACCTCTCCTAGGGGAAATTTAAGCCCTTGGGGTCCTCACCAGCACCAGCTGAGGTGCTCTGTGCTGGCTGGGCTCAGCCCCAAAGCAAACATGCGCACTTAATCAACTACTCCCAGGACAAAGAGGCCAAAGACAGAAGTGAGGAGGGAGAAAACACACGTGGCTGATGAGCTGAGGTGGCAGAGGCCCTCAAGGAGTGGCCTGTGCCTGGGTCCATTGCAGAGCCTGGCCCTGGAGGGCTGAGAGCCCTCCCAGGAGGTGGCCAGGTTCCTACTGCAAGAGAAACAATGGCAAAGTCTCTTTGGGAAGAGGATTCAGAGAGCCCAGACCTGGTTCAGTGTGTGCCTGCCCCAGAGAGCTCCCACAGCCCAAACACAGCACCAGCCCCAGGAGCAGGCACAGCACAGGAACCTCCCTGTCCCAGCGTGCAGTGCCAGCCCTGCCACTGAAACACCTGAGCATGAACACAAGGCTAAACCCATCTCCTGACAGTGCCAGGCATGAGACCCAGCAGGGAAATGGTGCAGCATGTTTTACACTGCAGGGGCTGTCACTGATCCTCTCGCCCCTCACTCTGCAGAGAGCCATGTTCCTCTTTCATCCAAAGCCATTCATTATCCACAAAGCAAATGGTCTGACTGTCAAACAGGTGGGGACTTGACTTTTTCTGTTCAGTATATCAGTGGGGTTAATTTCTTAGTTACTCGGTTTAATTAATTTCTGTCACTTTTTCATTGTGTTTGATGCCAGTTTCTGCTCAGCATCACAGCTACATAAATTATTCTGATTCACTAAATATTTGAATTCAGGAGTCCACTGTACCAGTCCTGGGGCTGTCATGAGAGACAAGGATCCCATGTCTTGCTGTCACCACAATCTGTGCACAGTTTCTCATCTGCTTTTGTGTTTCATGGTCTTAGAAGGAACAAAAGAAAAAAGCCAGCAGACCTCACTTCAGACAAGAGCCAATGAGTGGTTTTGATATTTGAAATTAATAGATGAGGAATGAAAAGCAACAGATGGCTTGTACTGAGTGCTGCTGTGCTTTCTACGCAAATGGAAACATGTGATGTGTTTTATTTCTCCACAGAGTGGGCACTGCAGGCTGTTTTACACTGCTGACCCATCCTGTGGAGCTGCTATCTGCCCCTGCACTGTGGCCACTGTCCTGAGCACAAAGCCGGAGTCAATGGCTCATGGTGCAATAGATGTAGCTGCTACTTCATATAACTCTCTTCATTTTCAAAGAGATGGAGGCCCATTGACAGTACCTATAATGATACTTTCTAAACATGCACACATGTATTTATGCCTACACACAGCACAACTTGGATGGCAGTTTCAGTATTTCTTAGAGACAGCTTTCTGGGAACTCGCTGTCACATGGATGACAAATGATTATCAATTAAAATAGATACAATTCCTTGACTTAGGTAAATGAAACCTGCTACAAAGCAAAGGAGCTCATTCTTCAGCCCCACAGAACAACTATGAACGCAGTGATTGCTCCTGAAGGAAGGGTTTGGGCCTTGTGCTGCTCCCTGGAAGGTGCAGGAGCACCAAAGACAACAGGCTGCTAAAGCAGCAGCTGGCTGCACTGAACCTTCCATTGACTCCTACGATAATAATAATCACAAATCCCCTGAGCTGGCAGTATCCCTGAGCCATACCTTGAGCTGGCAGTAGCTCTGTCTGAGCCATCCCTTGAGCTGGCAGTACTTGTGTCTGAGCCATACCCTGAGCTGGCAGTACCTGTGTCTGTGCTATACCCTGAGCTGGCAGTACCTGTGACTGGGCCATACCCGGAGCAATACCTGTGTCTGAGCCATACCCTGAGCTGGCAGTACCTGTGTCTGTGCTATACCCTGAGCTGGCAGTACCTGTGACTGGGCCATACCCTGGGCCATACCTGTGCTGGGCCATACCTTGAGCTGCAGGTCCCTGTGACTGGGCCATACCTGTGTCTGTGCCACACCCTGAGCTGGCAGTACCTGTGACTGGGCCATACCTGTGCTGGGCCATACCTTGAGCTGCAGGTACCTCTCGGTGCGCAGGGCCAGCAGGCGCTCGATGCAGAACATGTCCTCGGGCAGCTCCGCCTCGGCCAGCTCCGTGCCAAAGCACTGCAGCATCTGGGCAATGTCCTTCACAGTCAGGGCAAAGCTCTCGATGGCCTGCAGGGACACAGGGACTGCCATCAGTCCGGGGTCAGCACCGGCCTGCAGCTCCTCAGGGGCGCCCCAAGAGCCAGGGCTGGCCTGGGCTGGGCAGCACAACAGCCCTGAGACAGCTGGCTGGGGTGTCCAGGCACACACAGAGAGAAAATCCCACTGGGAACCCAACCTGCCATCACCTGGGCCACAGCATCCCCAGAAACTGAGTGTGCAGGAAGCACAGAAACACACAGCAAGGCACAACCCCTGACTCCTGGCAATATCAAAGCTCTTGCAAAGAGAAAGAAACAAACCTAACTGGAAATTCTCTGCATTTGGTCAGTATGCAATAGGCAGTCTCATCACCCTGCTTCCCAAACACAGTTATGATATTAATCACATTAAGCAACCATTATTAACAAAAAAGCCTATCTGGTATCTCCCGTTGAGGGAACTCTAATAAAGATTTTAAAGACAGATCTTTTGGGAGCAGTTTCCATAGGAGCCTGAGGGAGCCAATCCTCCTGCAAACCCATCAAAGCCCAACACCCCTTGGCTCCTTTCTCGTGTGATCTGGGAGGTGCAGTGGCTCCTTTCAGCCCCCAGTGCTCAGTGCCTGACTGCAGCCCTTGCCCAGGGAGCCCCAGCTGGCTGTGCCAGCCCCACTCACCGTCCTGAAGATGACCCACTCGCTGTGGCAGTACTCCAGGGTGCCCCCCAGCTCGGGGGTCAGCTGCTGCTCCTCGATGTACGTCAGCAGGTCACTGACCGAGCTCAGCATCACCACCTGCACACACACACACACAGGGGCTGTGTCACCTGGGCCACCCTCCTGCCCCACACTGACCGAGCTCAGCATCACCACCTGCACACACACACATAGGGGCTGTGCCACCTGGGCCACCCTCCTGCCCCACGCTGACCCCCTGAGCTCACTGACCCACACTGACCGAGCTCAGCATCACCACCTGCGCAGACACACAGGGGCTGTGTCACCTGGGCCACCCTCCTGCCCCACGCTGACCCTGTCACTGCCCTGTCACTGACTGAGCTCAGCATCACCTCCTGCACATACACACACACAGAGCCCTGTGTCACCCCTGGGTCACCCTCCTGCCCTACACCAACCCCTAATACACCTCAAACTCTGCTCTACAGCCTGTTCTGGAGCAGGGCTTCCTTCTTACACTTATGGCTTAACACAGCTCTGTCCCAGGCTCTGAGCACACACCCAGCCCTGCCCAGGCAGCTCTGAGCACACACAGCTCTGTCCCAGGCTCTGAGCACACCCAGCAGTGCACACTCAGCTCTGAGCACACACACAGCCCTGCCCAGGCAGCTCTGAGCACACACAGCTCTGTCCCAGGCCCTGAGCACACCCAGCAGTGCACACTCAGCTCTGAGCACACACACAGCTCTGTCCCAGGCCCTGAGCACACCCAGCAGTGCACACTCAGCTCTGAGCACACACAGATCTGTCCCAGGCCCTGAGCACACCCAGCAGTGCACACTCAGCTCCACACCGGTAACTTGAGCAGGAAATCCTCCTGGCTGAAGCGGAAGCCGATGTCGGTGAAGGTGCGCTGGAAGAAGCCTGTGGGCCGCAGGACCATCACCAAGTGCAGGTTCCCTGGGAAGGATGCCTGCAAGGGAACACAGACAGCACTCACCCTGGGCAGGGGCAGCTCCTGCAGCAGCACCCAGTGCACTGAAAACAGGGGGAATCATACCATTTTAGGGGGGTTTTCTTGTTTTCAAAACAGGGGGATGTGGCATTAACATTCTCTGAAAAATCCCTTCGCCCAGGGTTTTTCCCCTGGGAAAGCCTCAGAGAAAAAGGAAAACAGTAATTATCTCATTTGCTTCTCCTCTGTTTTGCTCCTTTGGAATGTGTTTGGGGATTGTTTACCCACAGGTGATTGTTTCACCGGATTCTGCTGTGAGTTGTTTTCACTCTTTGGCCAATTGGTGCCAAGCTGTGTTGGGAGAGAGTCACGAGTTTTCATTATTATCTTTTTAGCACTCTGCAAGTATCCTTCCTGTATTCTCTAGTACAGTTTCATTTAGTATTCTTTAATATATTATAGTATCATCAAATAATAAATTAGCCTTCTGAGAACATGGAGTCAGATTCAGCACTCCTTCCTTCATCGGGGCATCCCTGCAAATACAACAGGAGGGAGATGCTGGGAGAGATTCAGAGATAGGGGATGGAACTGCAGCAGGTTCAGATGCTGGGAGAGATTCAGAGATATGGGATGGAGCTGCAGCAGGTTCAGATGCTGGGGATGGTTCACAGATAGGGGATGGAACTGCAGCAGGTTCAGATGCTGGGCATGGTTCACAGATAGGGGATGGAACTGCAGCAGGTTCAGATGCTGGGAATGGTTCAGAGATAGGGGATGGAACTGCAGCAGGGCTGTCCAGCCCCACCTCTCCTAGGAGCAGGCAGGAGGTCAGCCCTGCTCCTTGGAGGCACACTTGTTATAAACTTTAATAATACAGATACTGTTCATCATTATAACTTGGGGAGTGAAATTGCAACTTAGCAGGGAGCAGAGGGCTGGAACATTGAGAGGAATGACAGATTGAAGAAGCAAAATTTATTGCCAAACTTGCTAATCATCCCATAACTGCATGAAGCACACTCGTCTTGTCCTTGGTAATTACCAGGCAACGTTTAATTTGTGGCAAGAATTTGGAATTTCCTGTCTACACTGCTGGAGCCTTTTTTCAAGCATATGGTTAGCAGGTGCATTTTTAAATAGATCTGTGAAAAGGGTACTTGAGAATGAAAAAGAATTTTTAAGAAAGTAGAAGTTGCATCATTAAATTATGGATAAGCACACGCTGCAAAGCCTTGAGTTAATTAAGACATGATTTGTTCTGAGATCCTGCCAGGCCAGGTCACATTTCCCTCCTCCTTATAGCATCCTCCTCCATGAAACATGATAGCAACCTCTATACCAAGGGTGAGAATAATGAACATGTTTGGGCACTTTGAACTGCAGGGCATTTCATCCATGCCCTCAAAACAAAGACCATCCCACAAAGATGCACTAGTGCTCTTTAAAACAGGATTTACACCTGAGCTCTGGCCTCCCTGAGCTGCACTGCCACTCATTTGCTCTGTTTTCTTGGGTAGGAAGGGGCAGGTTGTGGCTTCCACTGCCCATGGAAGTGGACAGTGAGTTTTAGGATCATATAAGGCACATAAATACAATATATTGATCTGCTGTTATTTTAAGTACAAGCAGAAAAAAAAGGTTGTGAATGAAATGACAAACTCACATCCTTTGGAAGTCAACAAGAGTGGTGCCAGGGACAAGGACTTGGCATTGGAAACAACAGCAAACCATTAAATAACAGAGCCATTGGTGCTGGCTCCAGCCCTGGTGCTGAGCTCCTGCTCCAGCCCTGGGCAGCACAGAATGCCTGCTCTGTGAACCCTGGGCTCCGGCCTTGGTTCTGCCCTGGAAAATGTTGCAGGGATGTCTTTGAGAACAGCAGCCTGAAATTCATCCTTTCCCAGTCTGACATCATTATTCCCTTCATCCCCTGTCCCCTTAGCCCTGCTGGCACTTGGAGCTTTGGCCTCCCCTTCAGGTCCTTCTCAACAGGCACCCAGTGGGTGCAGAGCAATGTCCCTGGAGGCACAGCCTGGGTGTCCAAACCCATTCCCCATGGGAAAGCCTGCAGGCTTTGAATGTCAGCCCCAGGAGCTGTGGGCAGCACAGGAAAGGGGAGCAGGGGCAGGAGACAAGCCCAGCTCACAGGGACCAGAGGGAGCAGCCTGGCTGGGAGCAGGGATGATGGCCCTGGACACCTCTGCTGCAGGATGCCAACGCGTCCCACACCAGGACACCATGGCACTGCCCTCCTCCATCACAGGGACAGCCATAGACACACCATTGTACCCCTCCTGCTCCTTGGTATTCCACCTCAATCATCTCCAGGGCAGGTGACTGGATTTCCATTCAGTTTAGGAAGCATTTGGGGATTTTTCAGCTGATCTTATACATACAGGATCAAGGTCAGCTCTTACAAGTAGCTACAAAACAGGAAGCACAGCTTTGCAAATGACACCTAATGTATTCCAAGCATGGGGGAAAATGAACACAAGAAATAAGCTTGTAAGAAAGACAGACACCAACAAGCCACGTCCTGTGCCCTCTTAGAGACGTAAGGGAAAGGATGAAATGCTAGGGAAAAAAAACCCCACATAGACCAGTAATTCCTCAACATAACATTCCTGCAGGAATTGTGTTTTTTAGTTATTGTAAAAATTTTAGGTTTTTCTCAGAGTTGAACTGTAGACAAGTTTCCTGAAAACTGATCTCTAATGATACTGAAAGTACTGCTGCAAAAACTCTTTCCCACAATATATTAAAGAAAGAAAAGATAAAAGGATATTTACTCTTGCCTTATGCTTTATCTTATCATTTGTAAGTCTAAAAAGAATCCTGTGCACTTGATAAGCCCAAGGTTATGTAACAGAGCACCTAAAGATGCCTCTAAAGCCTCTGCAGCACACCAGGACAGGCAGGAAACTCCCAGCACAGTCCCACTGAATCAGGCACTTCAGTGCTGTTAACTGTGCTACTGACCACAGCCTGCTGACCACATCCCCCTTCCCAGGACAGACACGACACCTTAAGGCCACTTCAGCAACTTTTTACATGCACATTTAACTAGAACCAACAGAGAGCCCTGATTTAATCAATACAGCCAAACTGGGCTAATGAAGCACAAGAAAGGACATGCACTGAAAGGATCACAGTTTCTGCCTCATTACTGAATATCTCACTCTGACACATTTAGCGGTATTTCAACATTTCCACCAATTTTAGGAACTCCGTTTTCAGGCACTACTCTTCCCTGCAGTTCACTGGGGCATCCATGAGGCTGGAAATCAATAAATAAAAAAAATAAAAGTAATTTAAAAAACCAAAGTATTATCTGTCAGTAAGTTTCTTTCCGAGCACTGCAGAGTGAGGCAGGAGTCCTTATCTAGGTACTGAACTTAACGACTTTCTGCTGCCCCTTAAAGGAAAAGTCATGCAACAAAACGCCAGGACACACAATGCTGCTAACCCGAGCCTTGAACTTCCCCAGAGCCAGAGCCAACCTCCCCAGCGCTCTGCTACCTTTACTCCAGCCGGCTGCATGGCTGACCCCGCGAGGATGCTGCGAGCATCACCGGGCACGGATCCGTG